TTGGTAAAGAGGTCAATTTTTCTTAATGGATCCATCGCCAACGCCCCGCCGGGGTCAAATGAACTTGTGCGTTGCTTTCTTCGTAGAGGCACGAGGGAGGAGCATTTCAGCCTGCTAAGGGAACTAGCGAAACGACGCAGAGCCGAGCTGGAGGGGGATGTTACAAAGAAAGGTGCAACGCGTCAGCAGCGAGCAACGGGTGGCAAGATTGCTCAGAAGCATGCTGACCGTCAGACGCAGGGCGCCGATCTAATTCGTGGCCAGAAAGGAGCAGATTTGTCAGGAGGAGCAGCAGCAGATACACAAGGGGACGAAAAGGGGGAGATGAAGTCGAGCGGATCTACGGAGGGAGCAGGAGCTGTTGCTGGCAATGAAGGGAAGAGAAGTAACTATTTACCGCAGCCGTGCGATGAGCTAACCACCTTCCGTTCAGCAACGACAGCCTCCGAACTGGGGACGTTTCGATGAAGATCAGGAGGAGGGAATCTGAAGTAACCAACAGTTTTGTTTTCACACGTCGGCATATGACACACAGTCTTTAAAAAGTGTGTGAACTGCCAAGTTTGAACTAGCGGTTTGGAGGGAGATTTCCAACTCGTAATTTAATCAGTCGTCTACTATTGGAGGGCGTAGGCAAATGGCGAAATCTACATGGTGCTTAGTGGGTTCAGCAATGCTCCACCCAGCTAGTAACTTGAATCAGAGTGCTAATACTTACACATATGCTTTACGACGAGTGGAAATTGCTTAAGGGCAAGGCAGTTAGGTGCACCATTAATTTGCATTAGGACTCAGTCAGAGCTGCTCCAGGGCGCAATACCGTAGTTAGTGTGGCGTGTGAGACGAGAGACACTTTTCTATACTTAGCCAAAGTTTCACCATCCCTGCAATCATTGCTTACTCATCTGCACGCAGATTCCCCGGGAGTGTATTGTACTCTGTTCATCTGCACATAACGGTGTTCTGCATTTCAGATGGCTACAGCATGCATGCCGCAAGCGTTGAGGGGCTGGAATTGTTGAAAATGTCCGGACTTGAATGATGTAATTGCATCGAGTTGTACTTGTTCTAAGCAAAGGCGAAATAAGCGCGTGCTAAAGGAACAAACGGTGTTGTACAGGCGATACTAGCCTGTCTCAACAGAAATTGTGGATAGCGAAGCACCAATTAATACTCAGGATTTTAGTACCCATATGAAAGCTTTCTGCGCTTGCGTTTGATGCGCATAGGGAAGGAGGCATGGATTGATCGTCTCGCACTCAAGTTGCTGCTTGCACGGATGCTCCACGAGAGGTTCCGATGGGCGTAGCACCAGCATGTTTTCGGCTACTCGCCTTGGTTAATTTGCGTATTAAGCAGCCTAAATAGAGATGTTTTCACCATAACTTGCCGCTGTTGTTCTCGTTTCTCCTAGCACATGCTGAGCAGGCACCATCTAGGCTCCACGTTGTGCACCCGCCGAAGACGGGTCAGATGAAGTTACACAGCTGTAGAGGCAGTCAGTGGGGTTGGCATAAATATCCTCGCTTGTAATGATACACTTGAGCGTACATAAGCGGACAGCTCGGTGGGCAAATTTCTTTGCTTCTTCCGCGTGGTCTGAGTGCTGTAAAAGGCGCCGAAGGTCGTCAAATGTACAACAACGCAAAAACCCGCTTCATCGAAATCAGAACTGTCCAAATGTCAAAGAAGTTTTTCTCGTAAACTGAAGTCTACGAAGAACAGAAGGTTGGCCGTTGTAGTGCGATTTAGGCACTCCTTTCTAGAAGCCCGACACCATTGGTCACTTATGAGCCAGCACCAACGGCGTTTCTGTAGTCGCGGNACTCCTTTCTAGAAGCCCGACACCATTGGTCACTTATGAGCCAGCACCAACGGCGTTTCTGTAGTCGCGGCAGCCCACTTTTGGCTTACGATGCAGAAATAAGGTATTCTGAGCACTTCGACCCTTTATTTTAGCAAAGGGAAAACACTTCGAGAGTGCGTAATAGGGGCACCGGGTTGAGAATCCAAGCATCTCCAGTCGGGGTCATCTCTCCGCTTCACTGCTTCATTCTTCCCCCCTAAGTTGTCAGCTGAACCTTTTTTGTCCCCTTTTCCCAGCTCAATTTCGTAAATTAGTTTTTTTCGCACAACCTCGTCCGCTGTGCCCGTACAAAAGCCATTTGCCCACGTGAAGTTTGCACTTCAATTTCAGTTTTCTTCAGGGACTGGAGCGATATTTTGGAGCTCCAAAGCATTCCCCTACATCATCTTCAATACAGAGAAACAAAGTCGCCACAGTTCGGCGATTGCTGCTTTAGTCCGTTCATTGCTAGAGGCACCCCACTTGGCATTTGGAGGCTTCTGCTGGGCTCTCGTATTGGTGCAATTTGCGTTCTCTGACGGGCAACAACCAACGTTGGCTGATGATTCATAGGATAGGCGATTCAACGTGCAAATTTCTGCCATACTCTAGAAATCTCAAAAGAGCACGGAAAAGGCACCTGAAGAAGGCAGGGCCACTTCCTGTGCATTCCCGTCTTTCCAACGCTGCTCATGCAGGTACGAACGCGTGCGTACCCTGCCGCCTATATCAGAGAATCCCCGCCTTCCTATCTCCACAGTCTGGATCCAAACCCGAAGAGAAGTTTGTGTAGGCGGAGCCTGCTGAGAGAGGGGGGACTGCTGTGGCAGACGAATGCCCGGCAACGCCTCAGGGAGCAACAAGATGAGGCAAACCCCTTCTTGCAGTCCAGTGTGCTGGAGGAATGGTGACAGCACGGATATTGTGCCCCCGATTCACCTAAAGAAGTTGGGTTGGTCAATAGAAAGCACAGGTTTTACACACAGTGGAGGCACGGGCTGCAGGGAGAATCCCAGGAGGCACGTACGGCCAGTACGGAGGCTGTCCCGGAGACGCTCACCTCCAACTTTAGATGAAGTGCCGCTAGGCTGCTCCACACCAAACATTGATGATACTGTATTTTTGAATGCATTACAGAGAACAACTGGAGAGGGAAGTAACGCTAGCGGGGCTGTAACTCTTTCTGCCTACCGCGCTCTTCTCAACGGCGAAGCACACGAACAACAGAACTATAACTCACGGGCTGCATTTCTGGTATCTAATGAAAGCATACACAGTTCCGTTGGGGACCCCGCTGGCTGTCACATATGGATGGGCCAGGCTCCGGCGACACGGGAGCAACACCCGTTTCAACTGTCTCCTCCCCTCAGAGACCGTCATAAAGTTTCTCCTCCTGTCCCTTTCGAGGATGCTGAAGACGCAAGGGGAGCTCTCCCTACTGCTTTAAATTGGCCAACAATTGACTCTATAGGTGCAGCAGCTGCACCACCCATGGTTCAGGCAGCTTGCAGCGCATCATGCATCAATAGGAAAATTTCTCCATTTGCAGGCCCTACGTCATGCGCGTCAGACCGAAGTCACAGTGCTTCTTTTCGGCAACATAGTAGCAGCTGTATGCAAGCTTTGTGGGCGTCAGGTATGAACGAGATAAACAAAGTATGCTTGCCGTCTGAAAGAAGCAAGCAGGAGGAATCCATCGCACCTCGCGGGACAAGGCGAATGCTTCCTCATTCTGTACCTGGTTCACCAAAACGGAGTCAACCCGAGTGGTGCTGGGAGTCCAAACAGGAAAGAAACGGGGATCTGATCGTGTACAACAGCGAAGAACGTCCGTTTCCGGAGCACAGGCAATGCAACAGAAGTCAATGGCGGTTGCCATGTGCGCCCACGGCACAACCAAGTGGAAGCCACGTCAATGGCGGTCTCCCTTCCGAATCATCTCTATCTCATTTATCTGTTGCTATCGCTGAGCCTCCAGGCAGCAGCAGCTTGCCGGCAGCTGATCCTCGTTCAGGCGGACAGCTAGAAACAGAAAGCGAGACTGACGAAGGACGAGTGGCAGCAGCCGCATGTACGCCAACAGTCGCCTCAACATTTTGGGACTATACTTTTCCCGCATCATCCTTTTCTTCTGACTTGTCTATGTTTCTTAGCCCAATCAATATTCCTTATATTTCTCCCGAAGAGGCACGGTTGGGTGACAATTATTACGTGAGGTGTCCACTCACTTTTACTCTGTCGGACAGATTTCGGGCTGCTCAGCAGATATCAAAGGGGCCTCCCGAGAGCGACGCAGCACGTTCGCGTGAGGAGCTACACAAGTGTGCCTCGCCTAACCGGGGGGAGCATTGTGGACCGAACAGGAGAAAATCCACATGCACGAATTTCCCACTGGACACGTTGGAGGAGCCGCTGGCACATAACAGATTTACGGCAGTTGCAATTGTCTCAGGCGAACCCGTAGGAACACCTAAGAAGAAAAATGTGGAAGGTGATCAAGAAGAAGAGGGTCCCTCCATCACGCCGTTGCCGGGTTTGCGGGGGCGTACTTTGGTTGCCACCTCCGTGAACGACTCACCTGAGCCACAGCCAGAGGGTCAAAGGATACGGAGAACTGCTTCACTCTCCGTGGGTTTTCCACGCATGACGCAAATGAAAACGGTACCAAGACGAGCTTCACACCAAGAAGAGGAAATTCATGAAGAACCAGGAAANAGCAAAGCAGGGCCACAGAAATCGACTGAAGCAACAACAGATTGAGCGGCAGCAGCAAGGAAGCAAGGGGGCCGAGCACCAGGGAGACCGTCGAGAGCAACACGACCAAAAGCAGCAGATTGGACCTTTTGAAATGCACGAGCAGCATGCGTACTCTCCACGGCACGAAGACTACGAACGTGAACATTTAGCTTCGCGTGAATACGCTGCGTCTAACAGTGGCGAAATTTGTGGGACTGACTTACAACAGCAGCGGCACCACACGCTTCCGCTGGATGGCAGCGCCTCGTCGAGCGCAGCAGATCGCTCATTACAGGGATCGCCTTTTGCTGCTGATTGTACGGATCAGGCTGAAGGAACGCAAAGGCGGAATAGCAGTCAATGCCTTGAGGAAGATGGGGAGAAACAGCTCCCTCCACTGCACCATATGCCGGAAGGGTGGCTGCAGCACGAGATGCAGGCACTGCTACGAGAAGAATACCAGCAACGGCAGATAGTTCAACGACGAGAAGAGCAGCAGCATGAGGCGCTCCAGCAGCATCCGCCACTGGAGAGACCCTGGGTGTTTCTTGCGCAGAAGCAGCAGGAGGAAGATTTCCGGCGAATGCATCAGGCAACGCTTCAACAAATGCAGCAGGAGCTCCTTAATAGGCACGAAAGACAAATCCAGGCACGACTGCAGGAGGATACTCGAACCCAGCAAGGAGATGCCGAGAATGAGAGACAAGAAGCAATTCGTTTGAAGCAGCAGCAGAAACAAAATCACCAAAAGCAGCTTAGGATTCAACAACCCACAGGCAGCTCGAAGGCGCGTAGTACGCCCATCACACGACGCAGAACCATATTTTGGCAGCATCGCCAGGAAGAGCAGCCGAAAGATCAACCTTTAGAAATACAAAATACCGAGGAAAAGAGTCAAAAACAATTTGAAGAGGAAGAACACCGGCTACAACTGCAACGAGAAGAGGTGCGACAGACTCAGAACCAGCAGCAGCAACAGAAGCAGGAGCAACCCTATTCACCTGCGGGAGAAAAAGAAGAGGACACTGGCAAGACACCGAAACAGCAAGAGCAGCAACTGGGGCCGCTACAACAAACAGAAACGACATATGAAACAGAGGGAGTTGCACCCAGCCAAACGGGTAAACAAAGGGAACTCGTGCAAACGCAGCAGCAACCCACCCAAACACAGGAACATGCACAGCAGGTTCAGCAGCAGCAACAACATGATACAGCCGTTCATGAGGAGGTAAGCAAATTGTTGCAGCAAAGCGAAGCTACTTCACCGGAAAGCTCAAAGCAAAAGGTGCAGCAGGCGCTGCAGAAAGACGGCACATCGGCGTATGGGGAGGAAGGCCAACAGAAGCAGCAACTCCTTACTCAGCGGGAAGGACATGAACAGCAGCAGTCAAATGCAGATGGGGAACAGACAAGCTCAAGGCAACCGAAAGCATGGGAACTGCAGAAGGGAGAAGACAATCCGAAACAAAAAGGTCAAACCGAACGGGATGAGAACCACAGGGGAAAACAGAATCAGCAGCGGCCTTATCAGGCAGACCAACAGACGCAGCAACACTCCTCGGACGGACTGGAGGTTCCAGAACATCACGGAGAAAAACGACTGCCTGACACGAGAACACAAAAGCATAAGCTGGCTCAACAGGAGGGACGGGAGAACGAACAACAAGGTCTAGGAGTGGCAGTTCTGCCGCAGGCACGAAAGCAATTGGCATCCAAAGAGAAACAAAAAATAACGCACCAGCAGCAGCAGGAGGGCGTGAGAGAGATTAAACACCGTAGGGGCCAAACACAAGCGGATAACCAAAGAATGCGAACACAGCAGCACAACGAGCAGCCCAAGCAACGGTGGCTGCAACAGAAGGAGCATCATCAGTCCCTGTCAAGAAGCTCACAGCCCCAAACACGAGTCCAGAGGCCCCAGCAGCAACCACAACAGCAGCAGCAGGAAAATATGCAAGAACAGCAGCAACGGCAGGAGCAAAAACATCAACAGCAGCAAGAGATACATCAACAAAAGGAACACCATCTGGAGCGGCAGGGGCTGCAGCAGGAGCAACAGCAGCGGCTAAACAAACACCAGGAAGGCAATTCTACCCTGACAAGAGCTGAACTATTGAGGCTGTCTTTTACTCCACTAGCGGCGGTCAGAGATAATGAATTATACTTACATCATCACCTGCCAAATAGGAACTCATCTTTACCTCTTGGGCATGGAGGGGCAACAACAAGCGCACAACAGCCCTCCAGTAGAATCCGCTTGCCAGATACTCCTATTCAGCCTCATGTGGCAACGCCACGTGGGGGCCTGAATGAAGGACGAAGAAGTGGAAATGCTAAGGCACCTCCGCTACTACCCCAGCATGCAGACGGCCGTCACTTTTCCAAAGGCCAGCAGAGCCTCCCTAACCAGCGTTGGACGCCTCTTCAAATACCCCAGCAGCAATCAAGGGAAAGTAAGCTAGCGGAAAGCAAGTCGGCAAATAATTTGTTTAGGAGGAGAAACCCCATTCCTCCTCCTCCTCCGCCTGTGGCATCAATTACGCAATCGTTGCAGCACCCAGAAGAACAATGGAAAATGGCTCCGATGAGAGGAATCCACCAACCCAAGAATCCACGTAGCCGTCAGCGACAGCTGCACCAGGAGCAGCGGCGCCTACAGAAGCAGCCGAAGCAACCAGCTGTACACCTCCCAGTGAGAGTCCCTGAGAACCCTGCAGGACATCGAGAAACCCAACAGAACGCTCAGCGACAGAATGCAGCGCTACACCAAGATGTGCAGCAGCAGCAGCAGCTACAGGGATACTACCAACATGTGCCGCATGACTTAGCTGCATCTGCATCGAGCAAGCGTGGCGCCAAACGCAATAGCAGGAGCAGTCACAGCGGCGCAGGTGAGCCTGACCCTTTCAGTCCCTTCGTCTCAGGTTCCCGTCCCACATGGGCTCAGAAAGCCGTCGAGGGGCCGCCAAAGCGTGAATTCCGCAACGACAGAGATCACCGCACAGAGGAAGCTCTTCGCATGTCTGTGGAAGCAGAAGGAAGTGTTGTGAAAGCAGATCTCGGCAGAACCGATAATGAGCAGGCAGCAGGTGAGTGCATCGACGGCCAGGACCGTCGCTTCGGTAAATCTGAAATGTTTCTGAACCGGCAACTTCCTGATATGCAAGGCTATACACATAGACGCGAGCGACAGGAACAGCGGCTAAAAGAACAAACATTAGAGCAGAAACAACGAGACAGACTCAACCCAATCGTACTGCAGGTGCACCAGCAGTTGGAGCAGGCTCGATTGGAGTTCTTAGAGGAGCAGACTCGCGGGCAGGCCAGGTCAGGCAGAGTGCAGTTAGTGAAGGAAGCACGGAAGCAGGAGGATCAGCAACAGCAAAGCCTCGACGAGGCCGAACCAAAACAAGGTGGCGAACGGCACGAACTGCCCCAACCGCACCAGCAGCAGCAGCACCAACAACAGCAGGAGCAGCAACGGCAAGAACAACACGAGAACTCGATGCCGTCTCCCTACCCAGTATGCCATCAGCAGCAGCCGGTGAGTGGCTCTGGGCAGCTGCAACAGGAGCAGCAACAGCAACAGGAGCGCCAGCATCCATACGGAGGGCACCAACAGGAGCAACGACGAGGCCATCCAGAACAGCAACTTCAGCAGGGCGAGGAAGTTCGTTATCTGCCGAGAAGCGACATCCAACAGCCCTCTCAACCCCAAGCGCCTAACGAGCTGCAGCATCAATCTCAGCAACAGCAACTGCCAGAGGGAATGGAACGGCATAGACAGCACTTTCAACAGCAAGACGCCTGGCCACAGCAACGAGCACGACAATCTCAGCACCCTTTGGGGATGCAACAGCAAGTTTGGTTTCAGCAACACCAGCAGCAAGACCAACAGTATCAGCAAGAACGACTACGGCCCACACAACAACAGCAACAGCAGCATCAACCGCCGCCACAAGAGCCATTCATATACGAGCAGCAGTACACGAACCCGCCACAACAATCCCAGCCGGCTATGCCGCTGCTGCACCCACTCGTCGAGCAGCAGCAACAACAGGCCTGGCTGCAGGCGCAGCTTCACTTGTCGTTGCAGCAGCAGCAACATGCATGGCTGCTGATAAACCAGCAGCGTTCGTGGCTGCTTCAGCAACACCATCCATTGACGCCGAGTCAACAACACCTGTGGACTTTGCAGCAACAGCAATTTTGGCAGCAGCAACAGCTACTGTGGCAGCTACAGCAACCCCACGCGTGGTTGCAGCAACAGCAACACATATGGCTACAGCACCACCAACAAGCACATCTGCAACAACAGTTGCTGCATCGGCAGCAGAACCAGCAGCAGCACCAGCATGGGCTCACATCTTTCCAGTATGGCTTGAATTGTATCAAACCCTATGCTCCCCCCCATGTTCTCTCAGATACTATTTTAGGGGCAGCTGAAAACGCGGCGAACATTCGACATTTTCTCTCCTGTGGCATGAGAATGCCGCCGCCCTGGGATGGGTGCATACCATCAGAGAACATGAGCCTTGGCTTCTGCCGTGTTTGCCTGCAATACGTCGACCGTGATAGATACATGCCACCTGTTGTATCAGCAACAGCAGTTGCATCTTCGCCTGCAGTAATGACAGGAGTCGAAGAAGCCGCAGATGACTTTCACGAGCAAGAACCGCACCAAGCAGAATTCTTGTCACACGAGCAACGTATTTCAACTGCCTCAGCAGACGCAGCCGGGGGCCCACCGGGAGTCAGCCTTCTGCCGGAAGCTGCGAGTGGACGGGCAGATTGTGCTACAGAAGTGCACGATGACACGTTCCAGCAAGTGAACGCAACTGCGATGTTCTCTAATAACAACAGCAACAACAGCCCCACCATACACAACAGCAACAACAGCGTCAATGACAGAGGCGGGATCTACGACGAATACCCCACTAGCAGCAGCAACACCAGTGGCAGCAACAGCATTAACAACAGTCGCAGCCGCAGCAGGACCAGCAATACAGCACAAAGGAATCATCGCATGAATATGACGAACTGGGAAGAGGGTGATGGCGGTAGCAACAACCACGGCGACAACAACATGGCAACTGATTCTGCAAGCTTTGGAACATTTCAACCGCCTGACTTTTCGAGGGAAGATTCCAGTGGATCTTCTGGACAAATCGACTCAATTGTGNCAGAGACACACCAAAATCAGCTGCACCAACATCTGCAGCAGCAGTTGCAGGAAGGGCCACCTCGCTCACGAGGTTTAGTCGCCGAAGCCAGTGCCGGTGCTCCCAACAGAAATCCCACCAGTTTCTCGGCCTTAAATCCGTCTGCTCCTGTGTTCGTTCCTGCCCGCAACACTCAGCCAGCTAGCCCCACATTTGCTTCTGCAATCGCAGCAGCAGCAGCGGCAGCAAACCAGGAGACTCTAGCAGCAAGTATACAAGGTAACCCCACGGCGGAGACTCGGCAGTGGAATACTCAGCAGACGAACCCACGAGCTCCCATGAACTTCTGCGGTCAAATTTATCCGACAGCCTTACAGCAACAGCAAAGAAACCAGCAGCCGCAGCAGCAGAGCCAAAATCAGCAGCGCGAACCACAAGGAATATTAGAAGTGCAGTTTCCGCCGGCTAATGGCCAGACCACCTGCGATCTGCAGCCGAACGTCCAACAGCCGCAGCTTGCCAACCAATCTTTGCAGCATTTGCCGCAGTCCTACCAACATTTGAACCCGCAGAGGCATCAACAACAACAGAATGCGCCGCAACAAAATGAGCAACAGTCGAATGAACAGCCTGCCCAGCAACAACATTATCCCTTCCCAAGTTTTATATCAAGCTCTTTATCAGATTTTGTACCTTTTCTAGACTCGTCAACTCGTCAAGGCTCACTAATCGTAACTGGAGTTTGCCTACAGTGCTGGCAATTTGTCGTTCGACCACCAGTCCTCTGTCTTTTAGATCAACTCCGCGCAAAAGGGATAGGTGGGAGG